AAAAAACAGTATCTACATTATGAATACCGGTTTTACATACACGTACATTATAAGACTGAACAGTTGGATAGCTTGTGCGTAAATGATCTTTTCGCTTCCAGCGGCTCCAACCCTGAGCAATTTCTCTTCAAATTAAAACATAGAGAAGTCACAAGTGTGCTTCATTGATTTCACAAACAAAGGGTGACAAAATCGACGTCCACAGGTACCCATGTTCTACGTTATGCAGTGCAGCTTGTGCGCAACCAGGTCACACATGTTGATTCCATGGCAACTAGTTTCCGTGCATGTCAAGTTGACCAGGATGATGGTGAATGAATTTGGAAACCAGAATTCAGTGTTTATTTTTATTATGATGATTATTATTTTTAACTTAGTTAAATGCGATTTAACTGAGTTATCAACAAAGAGAAGCTGGCATTCACCAGGCAGTCAGTGGTTCTTGGATGTTAAGGCTGGCACAGTGGGCCCCATCATATACATGCAGTATTAGCATGATCAGGCCTGATGTGGTGAAGCGGTCTTTTGGTGGAGCTCCTGGTTATATATTTGTCCCATCTTTTTCTGACCCTCTTTCCCCATCCCTTCTCAACTGTTATTTCAGTATGGCGGGTGCCTGGATGACCATGGGATGGGAGCATTTTACTGCCTAGGGGACAGCTGATCACATCCCAGGCACCCATCTTCCTTACGACGTGATGCAGTTGTTAAGTTGTGCAGTTGAAAACGCATACTGCTCTGTTTTCACTCAACCATAAAATGATGTCAATCTGAGATTTTTAGTCAGAAGAATCTCAGGTAAAAGGTAGAGAGGATTAAGGATAGGAACGCACTGCATTTACATAGTTACAGTACATGTGTTATATATAATTTTTCACAGTGAAGTATTTCTTTCCATTTTAGTGGAGAGAAAGAAAGCTACAAAAAAGAAAGCAATACTTGAAGTCTAATGTCAAGGAGCCATTACAGAAGGGCACTGCAACATCTACATCTGCAAAAACAGCACAGAACCGACAAAAAGGAACAGTTCTAGTACCTTCTACAAAGTCAATAAAAAGATCTGAGGTATGTTCATGTAGACAGAAAGACATGGCCAATGCACATACCTGTACATCACTACATATGCAGGGCTGTCAGTAAGGGCTGTAACCCTTAGCTGCTGTTATGGCTGAGCATGCTTGATAGCTGCCTTTTTGTTAACAATTCACCCATAAAGTACATGTAACAAATTTGTTTACAGGCTAGGTATGAAAATTAAGGCTACAGGTGAATCAAAACATATGACGCACATTACAGTATTTGTTATAAAACATTTTGTTACCTTCATTGTAGTGGCAGTATGTACCACTACCATATGTTACATGTGTATAATTAACATTGTATGTTATTATTTTATAGCATGCCAATTTAATTTTTTTTCAGAGTCATACATGTAGGTGTGAAATTTTTGTACCTGGGGCATGCCAAGATTTTTAAAAATGACCCACCCTGTGGATGTACCACTGCTAATTGAAAGAAATTCTTATTTACTAGGTTTTTACGTTTTTGTGTAATGGTCATGTCTGTTTATCGATCATTGTTTTTTGCCTTTGATTCTTAGGATGCCAGTAACAGTTCTTCTACAACTCAAAATGGAACCATTGCTGATAAGCAGTCAATAAAGAAATTCCAGGTTGATGTTTTTGTTTACTTGTATGTGAATTTTAGAACAGTCAGTATATTATTATTGACTACATGTATGATTCTTATACACAGTTTTTCAAATTGTTAGTGTTTTTAATACATTTTATTTCATGATTGAAGAATTCATGATTATACAATCGTGTCATTCAACAGAGATGTCTGTAGTGTGATGTTGACTGAACTGTTCCCAGTTCATTGAAACTGTGCATATTCTTATCTAACTTGTACTTGCAACAGGTTATTTCAAGTTTATTCAAGTACAATCCTGAAATACCCACATTATCTACAAGGTTGGTAAAAAAAATATGCATTATTGTACACTTTTTTAAACATATGTCATCTATTATACCTAATCAGAGTGTTTTATTGTCAGTCCAATACATATGGTTTAACTAGTCAGTCAAGGAGAGATTTTAAAACTTTCAGTCTTTCTCCTCTGTACATATACATGTATGCTCTGTTTTAAAAGTAACCATTTTTCTCATAAATTTTAATGAATTGATGTACTTATAAGAACTATTTTTTTGCAGTACTGAATCACCCATTAAAGAAAGAAATCAACAAAGTGAAACAGTGTTCTCTGGTGATAAATTTAGTGACCTGGATCTGTCTACTTTTATGGTAAGAAATAGCCTTGATATAAGTTTTCTTTAGTGTGCACAGTCATGTACACTTCACTTGTTAAATAAAAGCAGAAAATCTATTTCTTTTACTACATTAAGTTCCTCAATGATTGGTAATGTTTTGCCGTATTTACATAACATATAAGCAGTAACTGTTGTTCTCGGACTGGTTTGTGTTTGATAATAACTAATGTCCTTTGTACAACTAGCCTGGGAAGACAGCTGTCGGGGCAGGAGCAAAGAAGGATGGCTTTTTTCACAGGCTATGTTTATTTATTGTTTATTAAATCCTAATTTGATTAAAAAGAATTAGAATTGAATTGAACCAGATTTGACTAATGTCACACCAAAATGAAATTGATCATTTCTGTTGAATTTATGTATCTATTACTTTTGACAGAACCAACTTACCGGTACATGTAGATGTATTACTATGATGTGTTCAGTTCTTGATCAATTGTACAATAACATACACTGATATGTGGTGACTTGAAAAGGCTTGCATTGTAAGACTTAATCTGTATTTCTGTATGTAGATATCCAATCTTGAAAACAACTTAAAGCTGACAAGCATGACAAGGTACGGGTAAAGTTAGACCACTTCATACGTACATGTATATGCCACATACATGTACATGTAGTACTTTAGAGACCGCAGTTTCACAGATTAATTAAAAATGAACAATGCTTAAAGGCAGACACCCCCTTCTTAGTCCAGNTTCAAACAGTTTTTCGTTTCCCCTGAGAGTTCGAAATAGCGCCCGGGAGAGTTCGATAGCGGATACAACTGTAATTCGCTTGTCCGTAATTATCTGTCACGCGGGAGGGGAAGACTGGTGCTGGGGTGATATGTTAGAGCCCAGGCTGTTACGCGATCTCTGCACTAATCCTCGGCTTTTTTCATTGTGTAGGGATGGCGAGAGGAAGAAAAGCAGTGTGAAGAAAAGAGTAACCGAATACTCGTCAGATACAGACCTACAGGGACCCTTACCAAAGAAACGAAAGAAAGCAAAGAACAAAACAACCTAGCTAACAGCTCTTTATTTCCATTCGCTCGTACATTTTTATGCCAAGGTCGCTTTTACGAAGCTTGCCTCGTGTTCGGCTCATTGATTCGAGCTTACCCGAGTCGTGAAGAGAATACCCGAGACACCTCTCTCTCAGCTGGAGTCTCGACTTGACAACTTCTCCTTACAATACACGAAGTTACCTAAATTGTTTTCCAGCGGTTAGTTCAATGGAAAGTAATTAATGATACGTGGAAGTGTAATAAATTATTGCTAGTTTTAATGGCTTGTGGTTCTCAGTGACAGCTTACGATGAAGACTTCACTGAGTTGGCTCGTCACACAATCTTTCCTCTCCTCGTTCGTTGTGACGTCAGGTTGCGTGACACGTTAAACAGAACTTCGTATTTTTACCTCGCTGATAAGGCACTGGATAATTCTGCACATAAACGCGGGGTCAAATGAAATATTCATCTTCAGGCGAAGTCTTTGCTTTTCATTTCGCCAAGTACAATATTTACATTATTTCTCAAACTGACATTGTTTCGAAGGATTCCGTAGATCTCGCAGCGAAGGTTCTCCTGGGTTGAACAATCATATTCAACGATTTCCTCGTCAACAGTTGCCTCGACAGGCACACTTACGAATTTCTAGATTATTTTTATCCAATCAAAAACTAGTGCCAGGACTCGGGCAACTGTCCTTTCAGCATGGTACCTGAAGAACTTACTTCAGGTTGCCACGTAACGTCTTTCAATACAAAGTCAGTATTGTAACCGAAAACGTTACTTGTTATCCCATAGCTAGGATAACACTTGCTTGACATTATAAATATTCTTAGTCTAATGTTTTCCCTAACTTCACGCGACAGGCAATTAATTTTCTTATCAAATTGTTATTCCAAAAAACAACTACTAAAAAAAACTTTCCGCGACTGTCCTTGAAGTCACGTTTGACTCTAAAAATAGAAAAATAAAAATTAACTTTAGGCTGAACTTACTGAAATTTGAACAGAACTGCTTCTCATTGCCAAAATCAGTTAGGTACGAATTAAAACGACAACGAAAAACGATAATAGCGCGAAGAGGTAAACATACTTCCCTAATCGCATACCGAGTTCTTTTCCAGCTCGAAAGGTCTCGAAGATTTAATCTAATAAATTTCCTACTGACGCGATAGCCCCAAAAAAGGTTCAACCCATGATGGAAAAAATTCCAAGGTCTTGAACACGGAAAATTATTTCAAGCATCGGACTTTACTAAGCGTTTGTAGAAAGGGTTTTGTCGGCATCTTTCATTTGCTCTTCCGGTGCAACTATAAGAGTCCAGGAATTTTCCAGGAGAAAGTGGTAAAAGAGAATTTTCACGGAGTTTTCCAGGGCCTCAGAAGAAAAGGTTTCAAATTTAGGAGTTTTCAGGAATGTCAGAAGTAGAGCGAAGCTTGTCATATATAATATCGGCATGGTGCCTCGGATTGCTACTTGAACCTACAACCTCGGTAATAAATTACTCAATATCTACTAACTTATACCTAAAATATACGTCTGCCGGCAGTTTCCGTTTCGTTTCTTTGTTAGAACTGTGCTGTGTTGGGCCGCGATGACGCTAACTGCAAGGCGACCTAAAGAAATTAAATATGCTACATATCTTCCCTTCGACTAGTTCATGGACATATCTACAAAATTGTAAAAGGCATCTATATCTTGTGACGCTTTCTCGGGACTGGAAGAAACGTAAATGTTGGAAAGCGAATTGCGGCAGGCTTCTTTGACAGCATCGTTTGTACTCTGTACGCAGTTATTTCCATTAAACTCCAGGCCGATGACTGGTCCTGGGAGAGAAAAAAAGAGAGAAGTTCACTTATATATTACTACTTTAGTTTCAGAGGATTTGCAAATAATTAATAACTACACTATAGGAGCAGCAACCGAGAAAAGGAGAACGGGTAGCCTTATTCTTACAGCAGACACTGAGAGAATTGCGGTCCACAGCCAACGATTTATAAATTTTAAAATAAAAAATCAATAATTATTTTCCCTTTGAAGATTAGTGGCTGTGAGGACTGAGACAGATGACGAACAACAAACTTGAAAGGTTTAGGTTATATTTTTTTAAGCTGCGCTATCCATGGCGTATCTGTATAAAACTTTAAGTTCCTCCATGCGGTCTGTTATAAAAAAAAAANTCGTTTCACTGCTCGTTCTTAGCTTAGCAGCATCCATTTTCAATAACCTCCCACCCCACCCGCGAGCCGCATCAGGGGGGTGCCTTACAGTGGTTCCTTGCCCCCTACCCCTGCTACAGCTTTGCTTTATCCGGCAAACAAATAAAATCAAAGTATTAGAATATACTTGTCGTTGTTGTATGTCTTCGAGTATGTCACGAAGAATTATACATCATCTTAGCTATCGGCTGGTAATTTGGTTAACCGCAATCTTCTTTTTTAGAGTGTTTTTCAAAAGCCTTGCATACTTGAGCTTCAAACTGCTGTAAAGTCGAGGCTTACACAGGAAAAAAAAACAAGGAAACGGACTCAATGTCTCGTAATTACGTACAGTTTATGCCTCGTTCACTAGATCAAGCAACCTCCTTTCCAGGGTCTCTCGCTCTTAAGGGCGGAAAGAAGAGAGACCATGTGCAAAAGGTTGCAGATCTACTTTGGAGTTGATACACAACTAAATTCTCGATGAGGAAAGAGGTAAAAATTCGAACTGGCAACTAAATGGTAACATACCTTATGCTCTTGTTCAACTAGCAATCCCCTGATGTTTGCTTTAGTGTTATTATCATGGAAAAATACCACCAGACAAGACTACAAAATAAGAAATAACACAATAAAAATAATCAAACTTGCGATAGGAATACATGTAACTACAAAGGAATACATGTACTTGTGTGACCAGCCTTGAAGTAAAGGCAAATGAGTCACGCAAACGTCTGTGACTGTAGTCATGCACATAAATCACACCAAAATTGTTGAGCCCTAACAATCGCTTGCATTTAGCCAGTTATCTGAGCCTCTCTGAAAAGAGTGGAGAGAAGTGAGCGCGATCTGTAACGAAAAAAGATCGGCTCACCATATTCTGCACTAGCCTGTTCACACTGGCTACAGTGCAATTCCAAACAGGCAGGGAATCAGCCAAATGGATCGAAGAATAAAATGTGACCAGGAAAAATGACTTGAACACGCCTTCATAAAAACGTTTCAAACAGCAACGACAAATTACAAAAGCCTTAGCTTGAGAATAGAATTCCTCTCACGTTTTATTTTTTAGCTAATGATGACCTGAGCATCACTGGGATAAGCTTTAAGTAAAGATTTTTTCATTTAATCAGAATTCTAACCAAAGTTATGCATCCCAAGTTAAGCGGGCACCAAGCGCTTAAAAATGCAAGTCACGATTGGTTTTGCATCTCGTTGGCTGAATAGGTGGTGATGGTCTTTTAAACGAATCACAGAGTCGGTTGTAAAAGCAATTATAAGTGTTAAATATTACGCTTTTTGTTCCCTCGCATTAATTGATCCGTTAAATTCTGCCACCATTGTAATTGTCTCTGTTACCTCTATGATTACCATTTAATACATATAATCAAAAACCGGTCACTTACAATTACATTATCACAGAAAACACACTCTATCGATCGAACTATAACAAAACACAAGCTACATGAATGGCGTGCATGCGTCCATGCATTTGATTGGGTACTAACCTCATCAAACGGTTTTCTTCTTGTTCCAAGTGTAAGTGGAATAACGCTCATGGTTTCACTTGTTGAAATATTTCTGTCAGACAGTTGGTCTGGTACATCTACATACTCATGAACATGTGTAGATGCAGCCTGTGGAGATGTCAAGAGCCGCCAACAGGTAAATTCTTCTTACATGTACTCACAATTTTCTCCTATGTTTTCTTTAACTCTACAGAGGAGAATTTGGTTTTAATCACAATATTTTTTTAGATGAATTCTTGCTTACATTATCACAACTCAAGTGGTCCTACATTCACTCTGGCACTACCTTTATCTACCACAAGCATGAATTTGAAATCTGTTCGACTAAGCAACTGGCTCAAAAAGAAATTCATTTGACTGTGTCATATTAATAATAGTTTATGCACCTGTAGCGTATTTCATCTACACTTGTAGTAGTTTTTTATTCAAACCAATAAACTGTTATTGATTCTGCATCAATTTTTCATAACTTAAGTGACATTTATTTTCATTTATTAGTAATTTTCATTAAATCAGTTGCACAATGTAATTTTTAAGGGTAATATTTTTTGGTAAATGAGGTATGAAGATCCTCTCAGGAAACCTAATAAATCTTATTGTACTGTATAATGTTCAAAGCCCAGAATTTAACTGGTAGTAGTAGGACAAAAAAAGGCACTTTGCCTCCATGGAGTACTGGTTAGAGTTGGAGATTACCAGTCATTAATTTGGAGGTAAATTGTCCCCTCAAGGCAAGCAGCACAGAGGAAGGCCAAAGACCACCTGGTGAAGAACTGTGACAGCAGACCTCAAAGAGCTTGCCTTGGTGTGGGCGGAGGCTGAAAAGATCACCAGGGACTGCGAAAAGTAGAGATTGAGTAATGTCGTGATGGTCTTATGTCCCAGCCAGGACGATGAGGATGAGTGAGCGAGTGGAGGTACAGTCTGTACATGAATGAGTGAATTTGTCACTTCTGATATATAGTTACCTCAGGTAATAAACTCCAGGTTCGTTCTCCTGCAGCTGGTGTGTAGTCATGAATGTTACCCCAGTTGTTGTTAAAAACACTTAGTTTTGCTGCCTCAAACTGACCTGTAATATATAAAACATCTGTAAGGTCATGGACAATCAATAGCCCTTTTCACGGTTAGATTGTACATATCACTTGTATTAACTATGATCCGATCAGGATGAGAGGTAATTTCAAGCATAAAATACAAAACTGCCCAAAATTACCAGGTAAATGTCAGAATTAAGTTAATTGTGATATTGTAAGCCACTAAACAGTACCCTGTTTCAGACACATGTCCATGTAATATATATGAACTTTTTGTAACTAGCTTATTCCACGTTTGCAGAGTGTACCGGAGCATAGCAGGAGAAAAATAAGACTGATGCCATGTCCAATTGAAAAAAAATATATGATGGAGGCAATGTCCATGAAAAAATTATGACTGAGGCTGTTAAATTCTCTTCCATGGTACGTAGGGTGTTTACGATGACTACATAGACAACAAAAACTTGACTGTGACTGTGGCAAGTGCCTCAGTTTGCTTGTTACTAAGCTGTAGCTATGACCCTAGTGTACTGGAGACAACTACAATACAGTAGCAAAATGCTGCAAAAGTGAGCAAAAGATTAGTGTCTCACCTTCTAGCTCAGGATAGAAGAATTGAAAACAGGCAAACTTCATCGCACTTGATGACTCAATGATTGGTTGAGTAGCACAGCATAGAAAGAAGTCCATTTTCTTGCAGTCTCGAGTTCTAATAAAAGGATAGGTATAAAGAAAGTCAACGTTATAAATTAAATAAAAACACATCTGACAGAGCCTCTTAGAGACTATGACAGTTAGCTATCTACAGTCAGACCCTGCTAATTCAAACTCATTTAGTTCAAATTCCATCCCCATTATTTCAAACTCAAAACCATTTCCCCTGGATTTGCCTGTCAGTCATTTACTACTAATTTCAATTTTTTTTAACTATTTTGTGTTTCCCCTGAGAGTTCAAAATAGTGGCTTTCAACTGTACATGCAGGCATATATACATGTACAGTAGTTTCACAAGTGAACCCCAGCATTTTCAAACTTGGCATTTGGTGATCCAGTCCTGGAGTTTATAGAGTTTTTATTCAATATTTCAAGAGACAAATATCTTATGATTTACTGTACATTACATACAATTTAATAAATCTCAAATATACCTGCGAGACCTGGCATATAATGGAGAAAATATGGTATGCAGACTGACGTACATTCACTCACCTAAATTGTTGACATGCTACCACAACTTTACAATCTTGACAGTCTCTAAAAAATACACTGTGAATAATGATAAAACAAAGCAACAAAATTAATAGAAAAAATTTACAACAGTGTCAGCTACTGTGCAAGTATGAATTCATGCATTTAAAAAGTAAGGTGAGCTACATGTAGGTGAAGTCACGCCAAGTCCATACCAAGGTAAACCATGGCACTAATTAATCATTCACTCCTTTGGACTGGTAAAATTTCAAGAGGCAATGTAGTCTTTTGTCCAAGAACACAACAAAGTGAGCCCTTCCAGGGCTTGAACCAAGATGTACAGTTATGAAATATTTTATTTACAGTGACATTCAATACTGCCTTATGACTATGGAAAATTAGTACTAATAATAATATTATTACTCTTCTATTACTATTACTCTTGGCTATCACTTAATAGATCAACTCTTTTAATTTGTATTCCACTAAAGCTCGGTCCTCACTAGCAACGCAAGCATTTAAGCATCAGCATAAAAAGAGCTTATGCACTAGTGAGGATGGCCGCGACATAAGCATAAGAATATCAAAACCTTGCCTTCTTCTTATGCTTATGCTTACGTCGTTATTGTGTCCAGTGAGGACTTGCTAGCATAAGCATAAGCATAAGCATAAGCAT